TTTCAAAAGATATTTAAAATGATAATAGAATAAAATTTCTGTCAAATTTTAGTTTTTTTTAAATCTTTATCAATTTTCGAAAATAATTGCTAAAAAAGTTGTAACAAATAAAATATCTAAAAAAAGAAAAGTCTATAAAAAATAATAGAACAAATAAACAAAAAAAATAAGTTAACTGGAATCACTACATGAGTCAGTGTTTAAATTTCTTTTTTTTCTAACAGGACTGTGTATTTGTATATCACTTGTTAAAGAAGAACTTCTCTTTCTTGCAGCAAAATAACGATCTTTAGACTTTTTCAAGTGTTTCGCAATTATTGTAGTCATACTGGATTCAGTGGCAGTTGGAAATAAACAGTAAGCTGCATCAAAAATCAAACTTTCGACTGGTCCTATAAACTTACGCTTTTTATCTGCACCAGTTCGATTAATGCTGCAGCACAGCTTGTCTGTTAAACAAGTTTTTAAAGCATTTTTTAAAAAGTCACTTACATTTCTCCCACCAATTTGCTTTAACTTTCTGCAAATGATATCTTTATCATTAGAGTTAATTATTTTATTTTCTAGTGAGTCAAACTCTTCAACTGAATTAGCTGGTAAATAATCTATATTAATATTTTCTTTATTACCATGATTAGTGTCTAAAATTGAACGCATGGAACGCATTTCTGTTTCCAACCCACAAAGTTTTCTGTACATGGAGTTCACTATAAATTGAATGCCTTCAACAGTATTGGGTTCAACATTTGCTTTCCGAATAAAGTTATTTATTTGGTCTATCCCAGTTTTTTGAGATGATAAAGAAAAGGAAGAAGATGAATGCAGTAACGGTTGAACTTGTGAAACAGACTGCATTTCTGATGGAAACACTATCTGTGTAACTGGCAAGTCATCTACTTGATCCATTGAGGCAGAGACGGACAAAAAGTTCTAAACAAGATTAACAATGATTATAAATACATTCACAATATTCTGATTATATTATACTTTTTTTTTTTTTTAATTAAAAAATGGTATCTAAAAAAAGCAAATAAACCATAAAAATGAAACAAAAAAAAATATTATTTTTACGAATGGGACAAAATTTTAAAATGTATACTGAATCGGAATCAGGAAGCTTTAGTGGCTCCCACAATGGTAATGATGGTAAAGGAGGTTCTTCAAAGATAAATTTTTTTTTCTCTTTCTGTTTTGTTGACTTAAAGGAGTTTTCTTGTGTTTTTTTTGATGTATTAAAATCAATTTCTACTTCTGATTCTGCAGTAAGAATATGCTAAAGAAAATAACTTTTTTAATATATATACAATCATAGCTTTATACAATATACATATCATAGATCGTCCAGCCAATATTTTAAAAAAACGGAAATTTGTTTGGGTAAAATACCCGGAAAATATTTTCTCTTATTTTCCTCTTGTTTTTGCTTATAGCTGAGTTTTTTCTATTTTTTTTTTTCAAACTTTTCTTTATTTTTTTATGAGTGATGAGTGAAAAAGCTTATAAAACAAATAGATGTATTTAAACTTTTAAGTATAGAATATGTTTTAAATATCCAGCAAAAAAAAATTACAAAAAATTTCCAGAATTCTGGAAATATCCAAAAAAGGTTAATCCTTGACATATACAAAAATCTGTTACTAAAAAAGGACAAAAGAAATCATAATAAATACAGCTCATAATCAACTCAACTTTACCTAAGTTAAATACTCAACACATTTTATGCAATGTTTTGTGCATTGATTACAATAAAAATAATTTATTGAGTTAGTTTAAAAATACTCACATTTAAAGGTGGAATGCTCTGCCTTTTGTTTTGACCCACACGATTAATAAGTTTGAGGAGTCCATTTTTAGGGGTAAATTTTTTTTTCAATACAAAGTTTTGCATTTTTTGAACAAGCGATTTTGTATCAATTCCAACTGAAACGTATAAAATAAAATAAAAATTTTGTAGATTAATTTACTTTAAAAAAATGTTACTACTGAAACACTCCTTATTTTTCAATTCCAACAGGTGTATAAAATACTTATCTGTAATATGCATGCCGCATTTACACAATCCTTATGAATTGCCTTTATTTATTTTTTTTTTTTTTTTTTTTTTTTTATTTTACTTCACCTCCTCAAGGCCGAGAAGGCCACTACAGACGAGGAGGCTACTTATTTTATGGCTATAACCCTCTCTCAACTCTATAACTCCGAAACACGAACCTTGACGAACAAGGCCGCTGCGCGGAGAAACGAGTTGAGCGCGGTACTACCAGGGACGTGGTGGGGATCGAACTCGGAACCACTCGTTTATGAAGCGAGCGCTCTACCACTACACCACTACCGCATTTGAAGATCGTCCTCCGTTAATGTTTGACCACGAGATCTCCAATCATCCATAGACCAATTTTTTAGCTTCTCTGGCATTATTATGTCACAATTTTTTAATTCTAGAACTTCACTATCACAGTACAGATAAACAATATAATTCATCTGAAACAAAATATTTGTATAATGCAACATAAAATTTATACATTTATTATTTAGAAAATATGCAGATATTGAAGTTAAAATAGTATAAAGACTTCATACGAATGGATATATTTTTAAATCAACACAAAAATGTTTACAAAATTTAAAAAAACTAATCAAGTCCTGTAAATATCTTTAAACATTAGTTTAATTTACAGACCAATGGGATAATTAAAAAGTAGTTTTCCCTACAAAAAATCATAATACATTTTCGAACGGGTGTAACATTATAAACATGTGTGCGACTTTTCTGATAATATCCAATTCTAAGGACTTTTGATGAGTATGGAAATGTATACAGTGGCTTCACATAAGATAAAAGAATTCCAGATATATGTAAACAATGGAGACTTGTACTTGTGCATAAAACAATGGAACCATCAGCAATAACAAAAGCACAATCTGGCGAATCATTAGAAATCTTTACAGAGTTCAATTGATTAGTAGTTACTAATCGAAGATCATTTAAGCAAACAACTGCATGTTGAAAAATATTTCTACCTGTTTTAATTCGTCTTTTCAATAAACCCAACATATTTTCAAATTGAAATGCAGAAAATGAGTCCAAAGGTCCATATTTTGCTACAAATGAAGCTAGATGAAGTAACACATGCACATTATAAACCATAGATCTCTTGCTAAATAATATAGGCATAAACTCAACAAACTTTTTAACACATTCAGATGCGATACCATGATAAGCAAAAAATTCATCAGAAGCCAAAACATACAAGCTGAAGTGCAATGTAATAAAATGGTCATAATACCGATTTGGCAATTTATCATGTAAGAGAAATGGTCCAAGATATAAAACAAACTGTCGAAATTCAGAGGCTTTCCAGTTTTTAAAATTAACCAAAGAACTAAGTTTTCTGTGGAATTCTGATGGTAAATACTTTCTTATATCATCAATTTCAGCGGATAATTTTATGAGTAAATGTTCTGAAAGTCTACAAGATAAATTTAGGAAAGGCACTTTAGTAAAATAATATGTACATAACTTTTTCACCACACCTTGGAGTACCAGATGCATATATTCTGGAGGACATGACGATTGCAGTCCACTTAATTGAGGAATATCCAAAAGAGGTGAAGGGCCATGCTGATTATTTTCTGATATATTTTTGTAACTTTCATCAGAACGGGGTGTACAATGCTGATCTGTAAAAATAATACGATTGTAACAATACTCACCTTTGATATTACAGTACCCACATCCGTAGTATGCATTGTGATTGAAAATATTAAGAGCAAATGAACGTGCAGGTGTATCGCAAATAAAGTCAACATCAGAAATAACCGTTTGTAGTCCTTTCAAATCAAAAGGAACACTCAAAGTTTGCAACTCATAAACCAGCTGTTTAAGATAAACGTTCAAATTTGGCTTTTCAACACCGCAGTGCAAAGCAACAGGAAGTACACCAATATGATTGTAATCTCTAAATGACATTAGAATTGGCCAAAAAGTAATTTTAGAAGATTTAAAAACAGGCAAACCATCTAGATTAAAAAATAGCCGTAACTTTACTATGCCACTGTTGCCATCTTTATTTTTTAAATTTAACTCTAAATTACGATGGTCCATACAATACAATAAATTGTCTTTCACACCAATATATGACATTGAACTTTTTCCTTCAATTCTTTTAACCCAATTTTTAGACTGGTTGTAGGTTCCTGACTTAGCTTTTAGTGTAATAAAAGATAGTGGTAAACTTTTATCATAATGTATGTTTAATAACTTTAAAAGAGCTTCCATAGCATTTCTAGTCAGATTATATCTTAAATAAAAATTTAAAAGCTTTTGATTTATGTCAAAGCATTTTGATGTCATGCCTATGTCATCCTCCTTATCAGATGACTCATCTGAACTATTTACATCGTCAAACTCAAATGAAATATCATTATTACAACTTGCATTACATTCATAATCATCGCCCTTATCAGATGACTCATCTGAACTAATCTCATTGCTAAATTCTAACGAACCATCATTATTATAAATTGCATTATATTCATAACCATCGAAATTTCATTTTCAACTGCTTTCATGTTAGCACCTTCAATTAAAGATACTCTAGCACTTTCAAAACCTTTTCTACGAGCTGTTCTTAATAAGCTGTTGAACTAAAAATTTAATTTTTATAAACAAAAATTATATATATATATGTCTATATATATATATATATATATATATATATATATATATATATATATATATATATATATATACAGGGGCGGATACAGGTTGTAAAGATAGGGGGGGCACAAATGGGGTGGGGTTTAAGGGGAGGGGGTATCCCCCTCCCCTTCTGGGGTCTATAATCAGCCGCCAATGATTTTTAATGAAATGACAACCCAAAATGGACAGTTTCCAGTACCCTTTTCTAACTAGTGAATACGCTGTTAGTTTTATAAAGTGAATGTCTGTCTTTTATAGAGTGAATATCTGACCTGAGAATGGATCGACATAATTATAAAAAAATTAATCAAATTTTAGGGAGGGGAGGGGGGGGGGCACGAGCCGGCTGTGCCCCCCTCTAAATCCGCGCCTGATATATATATATATATATATATATATATATATATATATATATATATATATATACATATATATATATATATATATATATATATATATATATATGTATATATATATATATATATATATATATACACACATATATATATATATATATATATATATATATATATATATATATATATATATATATATATATATATATATATATATATATATACACATATATATATATATATATATATATATATATATATATATATATATATATATATATATATATATATATATATATATATATATATATATATATATACATATATATACATATATATAAAGTTAAAATGTTTGATATAGTAATTATTACCTCTTATACAAATTTTATTATTTATAGTTAACTGACCACGCGAATCTACCCTTACCAAAATCTTATTTCCACAAGTCCTGAACAGTGGGCCGAAACTACAACTGTATAAAAAAACTATCGACATTCCGTGCTAAAATATAGATAGCTAAAAAAAAGCTGCGATATGTAGCAATTAAATAGCTATACACTTTTTGTAATCTTCTAGCTAGCTTAAACGCTACTGTATTAGGCACTTCAACATTTTTAGAAAAAATGTAAAATGAAAACAAAACAAACTTCATTAGTTTGAACTAAAAATCAACAGTTAAAAAATAACAAACTTATCGTTTTATTATTATTAGTTGAAAATTTATTTAACTTTTAAACTACAAAATTAAAGCTTTTTATTTTATGATTTTTGAGGTTTTCAGCAATTTAACGTTTTTAAGAATCGCATCAACGTTTTTGCTTTTATACAAAAGCAATGATGCGTTTAAACAAGACCGTTATTATTCAAAACTAAGAATATAATACCAAAAAAATTTTATAGTAAACGGAATTTCAATAATTAGGAAACAACCAACATTTGACATAATAAGTCTGTGACAACTTTTTTAAAACATTTTATTTAATGGTAACGCAAAAAAAGGTTTTTAAAAATAATAAAATGATTTTAAAAACTCATTTTATAAAACATAAATATCGTATAACAATGATTTTAAAAGAACTTTAAATGACTGTTTAAATTAATGTCAAACTGTTTAAATTAATATTATTTAAATAATATTTTGAATTTGAATTATGTATGAGTCAACCTTAGCCCCTATATTCATTTTGTTAAATTTTAAATATTGTCAATAGTGAGGAAAAAGCAAGTAAAAATATCTCAAAAACGTTCAAAGTAACCTTACGGTAACATATTAAAAATTAAAGTAAAAGAGGAAAATGGGAGTTTAATTATTAGAGTCCTATATATAGATCAAATAAATGAAATGTAATTACCGTTGCAACTTGGCCCATCCGTTTAGAGCTTTGAAAAAAGCTGTTGCATTCCGAAGGTTCATCTGAAGATCTTTTACATGCCATTTTTGATATTTGATATTGATATTTTTAAAACAATATGAATAGTAGAGTGACAGAGCGAAAAAAGAAATATCGATAAAATTGTCGGTTATGTAGAGTAAATTTGAAAATGACAAATAAAGTCGTTAGTAAAATATTGCCAAAAATCATCAATTGCATAATTGGTATTGCGTAATGCGGTATACTAAAGTATGTTAATTAAAACTTCTAGACAGCAATTTCATGACACGCGTTAATGCGTTTTTAATCAAAAAAAAAAAATTATTTAGGTTTTTTAAATGAAAAATAAACTTTATTATAATAAAGAAATAGCCCAACTTTATTTTAAAAATTAAAGTTTATATGGCTTTTTAAATTTTTTTTACAGATATATATATATATATATATATATATATATATATATATATATATATATATATATATATATATATATATATATATATATATATATATATATATATATATATATATATATATATATATATATATATATATATATATATGAAGACCACACGGGTAAAACCACAGATGTCACATTTTTCTCATTTCGAGAAAAATGAAATTTAGTGTTTAGTGACTTTAGATATCTGTTTATTAATAATTTATTTAATTAAAAGTACATTTTTCTGACATTTTAGTCCTTATACAATATAAAAACGCAGTTTTTGTGCTAAATACAAGTATTATTTATTCACAATGTTCTTTTGAAAACAAGACACTCATTTTGGACATCTGTTGTTTTTCCGTTGTAAACTCATCAACTCGTAAATTACGTTAGATTGTAACCTTTTAGAGCACTTATTTTTTTTTAAGGTAGATGGTAACACATTGTAATTTACAACTACAACGTACTAAGTGTGTGATGGGATAATAAAGCCACCGCCCCCTCCCCCTCTTTTAATAAAAAAAATTCGATTCACGTTCACAGAAAAACATTTAAAAAAATCAAAATGTTTTTTAAAATGTTTTTCTGTGAACGTAATGTTGTTTACTTCATCCGAAAAGTTAG